TAGCACCTCCAAATCTTGGAGGCCACGCATATAAAGACCACCACTATTTAAAATCTGGAAGATTCAGTGGATTCTACTAGAAGATCATGAGTACTTTCGGAAATTACTCTGGAAAAATAATAATCTTGTCCTTCTCTCTGAACTGCAACTCTTTTTGTACACCAGGTTTTTCTTGATTTTGCATCTTTGTAACATCAGGCCCATAAGCTCCTGCCATTCAGCCTGCCCATGCCAACCAAGATGGAAGCGCTATGCTTAGGACACTCCGAGACAAAGACTCTGGTCAGAACCTCAGCTCTTGTAAACTGAAGTCGCTCCATTAATGACCTATTAATTTAAACTGAGGATGAGAGCACATGAAAGAACAGTGTGGGTGGATGCTGTTGATTTACTTTCAGCAAATATTTGATGACATGATTAGGTAACATGGGTTTGTTCAATGGGTTTTAATTACATTTTGGTTGAAGGATTCCCTATTCTTCTGCATGCTATGGAAGGGAGGAGACAAACATTATTGGACTGTGAGTGACACAGATTTTACAAAAAAAATACTAACCAAACAGTTCCCATCTTCTAATTAGATTTATAACTAAAACCATGCCATGCAGAGGGAAAACAAAACCCACAGATCTCAGCAAAATGGTTTTTGAAAGATTTGGGAATGGGTTGAAATAAAATGTGGTAATCTGATGGAAGGGGGAAGAAAGAGGGAAATGAAAAGCGTTGAAAGAGCTTAAAAATAAACTTGTGTGTGCCTAAGGGTCACGCCTGCCATTTCACACTTAAACGTACCAGGACTGGAAAAGGCTAACAAGGATGCAAAACCCAAAACCAGTGCCTGAAGCAACAGTAGAATTGAAAGAGAAGCAACGAAAAGATGGAAAAGGACCAAAAGACTTGTAAAGGAAAGAACGAGGAAACAGAGGCAGAAAAGCCCACATGAGAGGGAGCAGAGGGGCTCCAGTTCAGCCCTGCACCACACCTGCCTCGTGGCTTTGGTGCTGCATGCTGTGGAAGGCTGGAGCTCAGCTCCCCGCATCCAGCCTCCAACCCCACAGACCCATGCAATTTGTTCACTCAGAAAGCAGCATCCTGGCAATACTTCCTTTCCCCTTCATTAAAAGGTAAGGCTAAATTACAAGGACAAAGTGTTAGAAAGGGGAAATGCCTGACAATTCTCCGTCTCTGCCTCTTGCTCCATCCTCCCATGAAACAAATAAAAACTGAAGCAATTAAAATTGGGTGCCTTGCCAAGTATATCTTTTGCAAATGCATTTACTGTCATTATATGACAGATGTCCACATTTCCGTAACATTTCAGCTGAGCTTATCAGCCTTGAAATACTACCCCTACAAAAATTCAGGGATATCTTCAGTTAATTGACATGTGGCTGCCAGATCCTGATCCCGCTTCCCCCAGCATAAGGCACGGATAGCAGTTACACCCCACATCAAGTCTGGGAGGACACTCCTGTTTTCCATTAGCTGAAGTTACTCACTGACATAACAGATCTGTCACAGCCCAGGAAGGTCTAACTGGGATCTGAATCCATTGTTTGGTCCCTACTATTTTCTTAATTATTGCTGAGTATCTTCATACAACATGCACAGACACTACATTCTGGTTAGAGCAATAGCCATACTATCATGTTTTGTTTTGTTTTTTAATGTTAGCAAGAAAACTCAATCCACAGTGATGCTGTAGTTTCATGTACATTTTGAGGCAGCAGAAGGCAGCGGCACTGCCAGAGCCCGTGTGCTGCAGAGAGCTTTCCTGCCCTAGCCCCATGGGGGAACTACTCTGGCCTGAAATCCATCCAGCGAAACAGAAATGTTCTTGCTCAAATCCTTTTGCCTCTACGCACTGCTGTCACGCACCCTTACCTACACAAATGTTCGAGACGCACCAGCGCAAGCTGCACATCCCTTGTCTCGGGCACAGCTGGCAGAGTTTGGCATTCTCAACAGAAGACCCAGCTGCATACCATAAATCTTGGAAAGTATCTGCTTTCTTGCACAAAAATCCTATCTGTGGCCAGAAACTGAAAGGGTCTGGATCATATCTTGTTACACGCTATCTGAGAGAAGGAAAAAAACAACAACAACAAAAAAACCCCAGCTAATTACCGCTCTGATCAACACAGCAAACCTACAACCCATCTACGGCTTCTCATAACTCTTAAACCCACTACTATGCTATAAACCGCCACCAGAACAACTGCGCAGCACAGTTAGAGACATAAACAGGCTTAGGTGAATATGCGCATTTTTATACCTTTTCTATTACCTGATCAAACTAAAATACTGACGCAGTGGTGGTACGGCATTTCCCCTAACAAAGAAGCCCTTCAGTACAGCAGAGTGAACTAAAACTCAGATTCCATTTGAACAGTGATGGCAGCACTTAAAACCATTTTCTCTGGAAATGTTCTTGCCACTAAATATTAATAAAACTTTTACATTAGAGATCTGTGGGGTTTTGAAAAGAAAACTGATACGTATAGAGGGAGACAAGCAAAGCAAAAGAAATTGGAAAAGAACCATACTAAGTGATAGATGAAAGGAGTGATTTATCTGAAGAGGGTGTCAACAAATGTGCCGGTGCATTTTCATGAGTGACACACAGCAGAAAAGGGGGGAAAGAAAGGATAGTGATAGCAGAGAGGAAAAAGAAGAAAAGCATGGCAGGAGGAGAGAAAAAAGCCTCAGAAGGCAAAGCAAGGACTCTTCAGTAAAGACCTAGCAGAGGCGTCACACTCACGAGTGTGAGTCATCACCTCTCACACTAAGTGCAGTCCTGCAACTCCCAAACCCTCCCGGTGCTCCAGTATGCCATCAATGAGGTGCTATGCAAAAAGCAAAAGGCACTCTCTTACCGAAGCACTGGTGAAATTTTAAGGCACAACACTGTAACTGAGTAAGAGCTGTGCCAAAAACCTTCATCAGTTGTGGAGCTCATCATATATTTTCAGCTGATTTGTCAGAAGCACTCAGTTTGGCTTAACGCCAAACCCTCCCGGTGCTCCAGTATGCCACAGTGCCAGGAGCTTATGCGTTTCCGTCCTGCGTCCCTGTCGTTGTGACGGGGTCTGATCACCACTGATAGCACGTTCAGGGTGTTACTCACAGGAACAACAAACCCCCTAAATGAACTCATGCAAATACAATGCCGAGGTAATCAAATGCAAAGTCGAATAAGCTTGGCGTCTACATTTTCTTCCTCTCCCCAAAGCAATGACTTTCTTCAGGAGGAAAGGTGAGTACTATGTGCCAAGAAACCTGAACCCTTGTCAGTCATTATTCCTTATAATAAAGCATCCAGAGATATTAGGAGATTTTTCAGAACTCTACTACAGATCCTTCTGCCAACAAAACCAAACATTAAGACAAACTCTGACCTGTGTATTTAAAAACAAAAAGCAGTTTGCAGGCTTGCTCACCTAGTTCTTCCCCTTCAAAACCCCACAATCAGCACATTTTGTTACAATTACTTTTGCAACAGCTACGGGCTTAGGTACTATTTTCACAAGCACTATTTTCTGGTTTTGGCACCCTATCTAAGATATTTTCAATGACCTCAGCATCCACAATGTGGGTGTTCCAGTCTTTGGCAAGATCTGGTAATGCATTTCACGGGTCTCCACCTGAGCGCCTCAAATCCCAGACAAATAAAACATATGGCCACTTCTAAAGATTTTGCCCACAAAGAATGTTGTGCACAATTTAACCCCCAGTGTTGTTCCAGACCCAAGACAAACCACAACGGCATTTTTCAGGCAGGTTTGTTAACATTTGCCCTGAACACCGTTCTTGACAAGAAAATAATATTCTTTATCACTGAAGGTCAACCTTTGTCTTTCCTGTTGAAGACTGTATACATGTTAATGGACAGACATTTAACCATTCTTGCTGCCCTTCTTTTCCAGATCAAAAGATTAGGGTACAGAGAAGTTACACAAATTGTTCAAGGTCACCTAGCAAGTCAAGAGCTAAACAAGAGCTGAGAGGCCCTTCCAACTGTCATATTGTAGGTGAGGAAGAAAAACCACCACTCTTACTTAAAATCTGCCTTAAGGAAATTGTTAACCTGGGCTGGTATCTTCTAGCTAATCTTAGCTTATACAAATGAATAAATACGAGCCAGTGGATTTTACTTCTTACTACATTTCACTGATATCTTGGATTTTACATTCAAATAACAGTGCTAAGTTCAACAAAACGCACTTTTCTTCTTCAGACCAATATCTTCATTTAAACTAGTGTTTGACCTAAACAAAATGCAACTTCTTTTTTCTTCCAGTGGGCAACTTCATTTGGAGACTTTATGGATTTTTCTAAGGATTACCTAACGAAATGTAATAGGAATATGCACTGGTATCTATGTGTATATATAAAAAATTACAAATATCTTCGATTCATTCTTAATGAACTTCAAAATTTTGCATTCTTAAAAACATATTGGGAAAACCTTTAACTTCATATTTGCTTATTTATTCAATTTAATTTCAGTCTTGCATTTACGCATCTAATATACTCCTCAAAATATTAAAAATAATATAACCCAATTATTATTACTTAAAACATCTGCATTCTTAGAGCGAAATATTTTGGTCAACTATAAAAAGTACTTGATATTTTAATAACAAGAAGCTCTTGGAATAAAACCAGAACGTAAAGGGTCAGTTCACTGTGATTTTCATCCCTTAAATTAATTAATTATAAGCAGCGGCTTCCAGTGAATTTTTCTTAGCAAGGTATCAACACCTGCAAAGGAGAAAAATTAATGAAAGCATTGTCATAGTCTTAAATAAATACCCCACTCAATCACAAGCAAGATGAACAAACAGACGTGAGTGCCTTTGATTATTCGAACGATTAGCCTGAGTGTTCAAATACAGTAACGTCAAATGACAAGTAATACTGATTTTATCTCAAGCACAAAGACTCGAGCGTTGCTGTCTAGCTGCCGGCTACTGTTCCCACCAACAGAAGTCACCCACCTGGGGCAGCATGCGATTTTCCTCCTCCAGCTGTCTTACTCTTGCCTCCAGCTGCCTAACATAGGACAAGGTTGATTCTAAAAATCAAAAAGAAAAAAACTCGTATTATCCACAGAGATCTGCTTGTGTTTACTAGTGTCAGAGCCTGTGCCACATTCTGACTTGTACTCACAGCAGATTGCCTCTCTCAAACGCCCGTTAACCATTCAGCTCTGCTCCTCTCAAGAGCAGTGAGAGGATGTCAAATAATGCTGATACTAGAATTAATCCAATTCCTTGTGGCTTGTGATTCTCAATTGCTGCGCTTTAAGGTGGTCCCTTCTCAGACACAAGGTACCTTACAGAAAGGCAACACAGACTTGAGTTCTTCCAACCCATCCCCCAAGCTCTGTGAGCTTGTACTGTGTTTTGGAAATACTCCACGAGAGTAATGCATTACCCTACCAAGTCACCACTGGAAAGCCCAGAAAGAGAAGATAGTCTTCTGCAGGAAGATGCAGTCAAAGAGGCCCCTCCACTGTGGAGGTCTGGTGGTGCACACACAGCCTCCCCCCGCAAGCTGTGATCTCGCCTGCGGGGAACACAGCAGCTTGCCGGCACGGAGGCTCAAGCCTCAGCCTCTGCTAGGAACCAGACATGTTGTCACGGCTTGAGCCTGTGCTGGAAACCAGATGTGTCCCCCCAGGGCCCTGAGAGGGTTTGGAGCCTGGCCGATAGCATGACGGCCCAGGGCACAGCGCTGCTCTCAGCGAGTGCTCCTCACCCCACGCACGCCAGGGCAGTACCATACTAGGACATGCTCTCACAGTGCTGCTTTGCTATGAGGGCTTGGTTGAAGAGCAAAATGCTGCCCGCTCTATTCACAAGTAACCTCACTGACCTTCATGAGATAATTTGGTTGATTATGGAGAATATGAGTCACTCCTAGTCTGCTGTTCCCAAAAACTTTATGTAAGAAGGGTAGATCCATGATCCATCCCTAAAAGCATCTGACAGCTTTCTTGGGTCGCACAGAATTTCTGCTATTAAAGTCCCGTATCTAAGAGAAATACATGTCTGAGAAAGTAGCACTCGACTGTAAGAAAAAAGATATCTTCTCTGTCCAGAAACACGGCTATGACTCTTGTACTCCTTGTATTTGTAGATGGAAGTCCACCACGTACTCACTCCTGACTCAATGGTCCACTCAACTTTCTCTGAGATGTCAATTCCGGTAACATGTTTGTACAAATACTATCACATAACTAGTAAAATTATCTCTCTGATGATTAATGGTACGGAATCCATGGGTATTGGGGCAGTACTGTCAGCTGATACAACCCTGCAAAGCTTCATTGACAACAGAGCTGTTCACTGGTTTAAACTGACAGATGAATTTGTGTACCGGTTTCCTCTGATACCTAATCACCATGCCAGCCTGCCCATAAAATAAAGGTGATGGGAAATGAGGTGTCACTTACTGCTCTTATGAGACTGCAGTAGGCTAAAATATGCACGCACAGATAGTGCATGGGAATTTACACAACATGAAGTAATTTGTCAAAAATGATTAATACACAGCAAGGCACTGGATTAAAAATAGCATTGTACGATAA